AGTTACTTCACCTTCAAGTTACTTCAAGTTATATGTGCTTTGAAACTACTTTCATATGTGCTACTTCATATGAAACTACTTCATATGTGCTTCGAAACTACTTTTCAACATCCAGTCCTTTCTCTGTTTTTAATAGAATCTGTCTTCTAGGTGTACAGAGTATTTTCATAATGGTTTTGCAAAGACAGGGCAACAGCCTGATGAGTGGCTGACAATGACTTTTGTCTTCTTCATTGCCTTTATTTGGCATGGTGGTGGTAAAATACTCAGAACTTTTCAATTATTTGAGAATCTTCCTCCATTTGAAGGAGCTTAATAATTGAGGCTTCCAGGAAAATGACACCATGAGAAGTAACAAGACAGTCCATCCAATGCCACCAAATGGTCATCAAAACAGCAAGAAAAATGACAAAAGAAGCAAAAGTGTCAGAAATTCCCCAGAGAGAAAATGTGAAGCAAAAGAAGAGGTCTATCATAATGGGAAACCATCACTCTGGATTCAGAGGAGCTGGGATGCAAGGCTTGCTGGCCCAAGTCTGGAGTAGCAGCTACTAGGAAGGCCAAAGCTGGCAGGGGTTCAGGTGGGAGGAAGAGGAGGAGGAAGAAGAGCTGAGGCACCCAGAACAAGGCAAAAACAATGAACCCGAAAAGCAATGGCAGGAACAAAAAAAAAGCTAGATATTTCCCAAGACACGATAAAAATCACTGAAGGAATTTATGAAATAGAATTAGGCAAAAAAAAAGACAATCATTAAAAGGCTATGGGGGAGGTCAGGTTGGACTAAATTCAGGAGACTATTCAGATGACTTCCAACTCTGAATCTGTGATGAATTTTTTTGAATTTGATAGTAATTGAGTCCTAGGAACAGCTAAAAAATCTCTGGAAATGAGGAAACTAAGTCATTTAGAATCTAATGTAGAAAAATGAATTGAAAATAGAAACACAGGTGTGACTGATGCCAAGTAGAGTGATTTTGCTGGAGGGCATCCTGGCAGGAGGAATGAGGAAAGCAGAACATCATGATGAAATGGCTAAAGATCCAAAGAAACACAAGGCAGACACAAATGACAGGTTATGAGGACAGATCAAGGAGCAAAGCATCTAAGAATTAGTGTGGGTCCTTCGAGATCACTTAGAAGTAAGCTGTTTGCGGCAGCTAGGTGGCACAATGGATAGAGCACCTGCCCTGAGTCAGGGGGACCTGAGTTCAAATCCAGCCTCAGACACTTGACGCTTACTAGCTGTGTGACCCCAAGCAAGTCAAATAGTTAACCCCAATTGCCCCCCCCTCACAAGCAAAGTAAGCTGTTTACAAGTCTGAATTGTTTCTATGGGATAATGTCCTCCCAATTCTTTCCACTGGGAAAGACTGAGAGCTTCCCAGGTAAAGCAAAATGCCACCAGGTAGCATTTGGCTCACATATGCAGAGGAGTGAAAAGGTCACTGGTGGCCCAGGGTGGAGAGCCAGGGGTAGAGGTGCCTAGGTAATACAGCCATCCTTCCTATTTCATGAGTTCTTTCTGTCCTTGGCTGTAAGGCATACCATGTGTTTATGTCTCTCAAGGTGGAGGTCTTCAGTGCTTTTGAGCTCTATATGTCTCTTTTTCTCAGAAAGCTCTGCCAATAATATATCCCAGTCAGCCACATAAGGCCTCCCAAAGTCTCTTCTACATTCTGGGACCCTTGTCCTTGTAACCCCTTTCTTAATTGGTGATAGACTTTGTCTTTTAAAAATTAAATTATATTTCAATTATCTTTTTAATAAATTTAAAAAATAAAACTTATTTCAATTATCAAAACATTGTTTTTTCTTCCTCCCACCTCCCTCACTTATCCCTTCTCTGAATAAAAAAGAAAATGAAAGCCCTTGTAATAAATAGACACAAGTCAAGCAAAAACAGTTTCCCATATTGGAGATGTCCAAAGATGTGTCTTGTTCTGAAGATTTAGTCAGTCATCTGAGGTGGGTAGCATTCTCCATTGTTGGTCCTCTGGAATCAGGGTTGGTCATTGTGTTTGTCACAATTCGTAAGGTCTTTAAAATTGTTTATTTTTACAATGTTGTTCTTATACAAATTGTTCTCCTGGTTCTGCTTGTTTCACTCTGCATCGATTCATACAAGGCTTCCCTGGTTTCTCTGAAACCATCTCTTTCATCATCATTCACACCAAAATATGTTTAGCCAGTCTGAAACAGGTGTATACCGCTTTAGTTTCCAGGTCTTTGCCATTACAAAAAAGGTGTTATAATTAAAATATATGATACACATATATATTTTACATACATACATACAAACATACATACATACATATATATATATATATATATATATATAGAGAGAGAGAGAGAGAGAGAGAGAGAGAGAGAGAGAGATTTGTTAAACTTTTTTCCTCTTTCTTTTCTGTCTTTGGGGTTGAGACCTAGACATGGTCCTGCTGGATAAAAGGGCATCACACATAACAGAATCACTTTGAAGGCACAGTCCCAAACTGCTTTCCAGGATGACTGGGCAAATTCACAGCCTCACCCAAAGGGCACCAACGGGCCTGTCTCCCTGCAGCCTCTCAACACTGGTCGTTTTCTTTTCTGGACAGTCTAGAATTCTTAACACATTAGCCTGGTCCTTCTCTCCCCTAAACCCTGTAGATGGTGCCACAGAGCAGCCTTTCCTGCTAAGCCTCAACTGCTGGAAGTTGGCCCAGCGACTTCTCTAATCTCAGATGCCTCATTTAGGTTCCCTTTTGACTCTGTCCCTGCTGTCCTTTTCTTTAGAGCCAAATCCATGACAAGCCCTTAGGCAGATGTTTTCCAGTTGTTTCACTCCATGTCAGAAGGCTTTGACTCTCCCTCTCCTCTTCTCTCCTTTTCTCTCTCTCCATCTCCATCTCTCTCTCCATCCCTTTGTTTATCTCTCTCTGTCTCCTCCATTTCTCTGTCTGCCTCTGCCTTCCTCTCTCTTTCCCTTCCCTCATCTCTGTGTCTGTCTCCCTCCCTTCCTCTCTCCCTCTTCTCTGTCCCTCCCCTTCCTTCTCTCTCTCAGCACTTGCTGGACTCCGTTTCTTAGTGCTTTCTTTTGGACAGCACCATCTCTAAGGCCCTGGACCTACAGTGCCTAGAATGGCTCCCTATATCCCTGCAGTTAACATAGCTAAGGTCACTGAAATCCACACCCACTGTAGCCAGAAACCCGCAGACTTAACACTATATTAAAACCCATATTAAACAAAAGGAATATTATATGCTTTGGGCCCTAGGTATTTTCTCCTTCTCTCTCCTTCTCCTATTTGAATGACTGAGAAGAGAAAATGGCCTTTTCACTTGCAGGCATGGATGCTCATGGCTGGGGCTGATAACTCAGAATCAGAGAGTAAGAGCTCCCAGCTACCCTAGGTATCCACTCCAGCCTCCATCTGAACAACAATCCCTTCTATATCTTCACCATGTGGTCACTGAGTCTCCGCCTGAGGACCTCCAAGGAGGTCCAAGGGACTTCCAGGGAAGCACCATTGCACTTCTAGACAGACCTAATTCCTAGGTGAAATTAGCCTGTCTGCAATATTCACTCAGGTCCTACTTGTGCCCTCTTGGATTCACCTAAACAATTCTTTAAATACTTGAAGACAACCATCTTCTCCCCTCAGCATCTTCTCTTCTCCTAGGCAAACATCCCTAAGTCCTTTACCCAATCCTCCATAGCAAGTTCTCTGGTCCTCTCCCCATTCTGGTCCTTGTCTTCTGGACACATTCCTCTGGATATGCTGTCCACACCTTTTCTAAAATGTAGTGCCCCAGAATGAACATAATCTTCCAGATGGGGCCTGACCAAGGCAGGGTCTTGCAGAACTACTGCTTAAAGGAGTATGGGGTGCGGGGGAGGGAGAGAACACTGAAGATTCTGAGAGAGGACAGTGTTAGCAACTGAGAGAGAGGAAGGCTCACGAGGCTGCATCCTAGTCTTTCACAGAGGAGATGTCACTGAAAGGATGGAAAAATCTCACGACTTGTCTACATTTTCCTTATAAAACTGGTGCACCAGACAGCTGTGCTGTGGAGAAGGGAAGCACAGTGGAAAATGACAAGGGCTGGGGAGTTTTAGGAGGAATTTTTTAAAGCTCCATTGAGATCAAAAGAAGAAAGACGGGAGAGGACTTGGTCTGAAGGGTCTGGTAGCAGAAAATGATAAAGAACGGAATTATTGAACTCTTTCCTTGCCTTTCCACATAGTGCTGACTCCAACATGCTTTGAAGGGTTCAGGTGTCCTCCACCAGGGGAGGCTCATTCAGGACTGTCTCTAGACCAGCCTGGGCTTGGGGAAAGAGGATTGAGTTTGCAATGATAGAATGGAGGTGCAAATCTCAATTTTGCTACTTCCTATCTTTACAACCTTGGAAAAATCTCTCCACATCGTTGGCCTTCAGTTTCCTGCTCTGTAAAATAAAAGAGATTATCTCCAAGATCCTTTCCAGGCATAACTTTATATGCTTTTTAAAATGTGGAGTGTAATAGTTTCCTAGATGGGGTGATGAGACAAGAAAGAGGGAAAAATCCCACCAAATGTGCCCAGGTTCTTTGTTTCTGAAAAAAAGGTCAGTGGGGATTCACACCTTCATATTTCAGGCAGTTCAGAACTAACCTTGGGCTGAAATAGTACTCCTTCCCATTTTATTAAGCTCTTTCCTTTTATTGTTATTGTGTCTGACTCTTTGTGACTTCATTTGGGGTTTTCTTATCAAAGAAATTGGAGTGGTTTGCCATTTCCTTTTCCAGCTCATTTTTCAGATGAAGAAATTCAGGCAAACAGGGTTAAATGACTTGCCCACACTGCTAGTAAATGTCTGAGGCCTGGATTGGAACTAAGGTCTTCCTGACTGCGGGCCCTGAGCTCTAACCACTGGGGACCTAGCTGTCCCTTTTACCGTGAGAGAAAGTCTTCTACTCGGATTCCAAATTCCATTTATTGGACTCTAACTCAGTCATTATTCTTGGATCCCTTTCTTATCTACACAGCCTGGGAACGTTACAAAATTTGCCTGAGTCACAGCTGGGATGGAGGTCAATAAAACGGAGGTGGCAACACACCCCTCCACTAATCAGTTTGCAGATTTCTTCACTCCTCAAACAGCCTCAATTTTGGGTGGGGACATTGTCTTCCTCACTTCTAAGGAGGGGAAAGGGTCACACTGAGGAGGGCTGGGGTTGGAAGGCCAGCAGAGGAGGGTTAAGGGCTAGGGCCGTTTCTTTCTCTGGTTCAGGCCGGGAGCACAAGAGCCTGGTGTTCCTGGAGAGATGAGGGGAGGGAGGGAGACTCGGGCGCTCCACAGATTCAAAGGCTGTTCTGGGAAGGACACAGAAAGAACGAAGGTCTGTAATGCTGGGGATTTCCTCCGAGTCAGTTTCAGTTTGCGCCTCCTAACCTGAGTGCTCGTTCTGCCCAGTCACCAATGACGTTTTTTTCCTCTCGTTTGCTATTGGCCGGCAGAGTCTCTGTGAAGCCAACCAGAAGTTAGGAATTCGCCCTTCTGCAAACCCAGCGCAGACTGGTCTCGGTGATCCTGGGCTTCTCTGTCTGTGGACCATGGAGCCGTGTCTGCGCTCTCTCTTTTTGTTGGGGACCCTGGCCGTGCCGGAGACCTGGGCAGGCAAGTAGAGAACAGACCTAAGCGGCCGCCTGGAGGGTGGATACAGCATTGCCTGGTGCACGTGTGGGGGGGATGGGGTTTCCTACCGAAAGCTCCTCTTGGCACCAGCCCAGGGTGGGTTTCCGGGGAACCGGGTCCTTAATGTCAAGTGAAGTCAGGGTGATGGTGAAAGGAAGCAGCCATGAGAGTGTGTGTGTGTGTGTGTGTGTGTGTGTGTGTGTGTGTGTGTGTGACTCGAGGACCAGTAGCCTGCCGTCCCTTAGCTGGGCTTTGGCAGGAGGGGGAGGGGGGTGTCTTTGTGTCGGTCCCTTAGTTTGGGGGGGTGAGTGAATTGGTGAGTGCGGGTGAGGACAAGGGGCGTAGGAAGAGGTGCCGGGAGGGAGAATGGGTGCGACAGTCCTGGGGGCGTTAAGGAGCAGAGCCGTCCGGGAGCTCCCCGCCCCCTCCCCATCCAAGGTCGAGGACAGAGAACCGGGCGCAGCCTTGTTAAAGAGCTTCACGGAGGATCGTGGGGGCGGGGGGGTGAGGCCGGGGGCAGGCGAAGACCCAAGGTGGGGGACTCGGGGTGAGGAGTGTGAGAGACCCAGGAACCGGCTCAGAAGTGGAGGCGGGGAGGGGGACAAGGTCCAGATGGAGGGGCACTAGGACCTGCCTGGGTTTTGGTGATCTCAAAGCGCAGTAGTCTAGAGAATTATTACCTCCCAGCGCGGTGCGCCATCAGTGTTGGGGGCGAAGGGGCCGGATACCGGGGGTTAGAAGCCCGGGTCACATCCTGGGCGCGAGGGGGTTAAAACTCACGCCCGGGTAGACACGGGGTCGGAGGTCACACTCCGGGTGTGTCGGGGTCAAGGGCGCCCCCGGTCGGCACGGGGTCAGGGGTCGCACCCCGCCTTCGCGGCAGACAGGCCGTGTCTACGCAGTCACCGCCCTGATCCCTGACCCCGGTCCGGGTCCCCACGTCCAGGCTCTCACTCCATGAGGTATTTCGACACCGCCATGGCCTCGCCCGAGCTCCCGGAGCCGCGGTATATCTCCGTGGGCTACGTGGACGATCAGCAGTTCGTGCGCTTCGACAGCGCCAGCAAGAGTCAGAGGGAGGAGCCGCGGGCGGCATGGATGGAGCGGGTGGAGCGGGAGGACCCGGACTACTGGGAGGGGGAGACGCGGATCTCCTGGGAGAACGTCCAGATTTCCCGAGCGGGTCTGCGGGACCTGCGGGGCTACTTCAACCAGAGCGAGGCGGGTGCGTGACGTGGGCGGAGGGAGCGTCCGAGCCGGCCCACGGTCACTGAGGCTCCCAC